GAACAGGTGAAAAGAGGAGGTGAAAAGACGAGGAAGAACGAGCTTCAGAATCACAGCAGAATAGGTTCCAATGTGTGCATATGCTGTTTCATAAACTGTAACACCACGATTTCTCAGCTTAGGATCCAGGGCATCTGATAACATTGCAAACATAGTATTTTACACCTAAAAATATGTCCATGCAGCTGTCTCAGCCTATTTTGTCTCCCCTTTTCCATTGCTTGAATAGCACAAGGAAAATAAGGTCCAAATCTGAATCACTGTGCCCTAGAGGGGCACATCTTCTTCTGAGGGCTGTATTAATTCATTTTTACGTCACTTGCAGTCTGGATTTGCATCTGATAATTTGCGGTGAGGTTTCTCAAACGAAGTGCTGACTACTCTGACCTAGAAGGTATCAACAGCTGCTTGTGACCACACCAGGATGGTTCAGATTCTGAACAGATCAGGGCAAACATCTTTTTATTTGTATCTGAGGTTCTATGCGTTCCTCTTATTTACCACTACTAGAAGTCACCCGTATGCACACATAGCAACCACCTATTAATATCAAGTCACACAGGGGAAAAAAGCAATACACTACACACTAGGAAAAAAAAATTAACTGCTCTAACAGTTCAGGCCTATACCTCACTGCCTTTACGGAAACAGAGTGAATTTCACTTACTGTCTGATCTCTCTCCTTGCAGGTTGAAGGAGAGCTGACCTATGAGAAACTGGCTGAGTGGACCAACTCAGCCAACATGATGAAAGCTGAAGTGGATCTGTACCTGCCCAAGTTGAAGTTGGAAGAGAATTATGACCTTCAATCCACCTTGAGCAGCATGGGGATACAAAATGCTTTTGACCCCGTTCAGGCTGATTTCACAGGGATGTCAGCTAAGAAGGATCTTTTCATCTCAAAGATTATTCACAAAGCTTTTGTGGAGATCAACGAAGAAGGTACAGAGGCCGCAGCTGCCACAGGTGTCCTGGTGCTGAGATCAAAAGCACCAACAATGACTTTCAAAGCTGACCACCCTTTCCTCTTCTTCATCAAGCACAACAAATCCCAAACTATCCTCTTCTTTGGCAGATTTTGCTCACCCTAGTCAGTTATTCCTTGCCCTGCAGAACAGGAAACACTCAAGGCAAATACTGAAACCTGAAACTCCTGCTGCAGCTGGGGGCAGTGGAACCTGAACCCTTTCTCCCTCAGACCTCACACCCTGGGCCTGAGATGCAGCTCCTCCTGTGCTTCTCTCCTACCATCAAGGGACAGCCATGGCAGGGGGGAGCACACATCCACAGAGCAATCCTGGTCGCCATTCAAACCAGGCCGCCAAGGGTAGCTCTGTCCCCTAACCACTATTAGCTATGGCCTTTCTATCCCTTCCCCTCACTGCAGTGTATACAAAAGTACACTAACGCAGGCCCTCTCATCACTCTCCTGACTAGAGCCGATTCAGATGAAGTCTTAGCACTTACTCCCACCCAGCAGTTCGACCCTGATCCTTTTTAGCCCTTGATTAAGTGTGTCCATTGGTAATGGCAGCAGACCCTCCCTACCCAAGGCCTGTGGCCATTCCCCTGCCTTCCTTTCACATCCCAGCTGCAAGCCTTCACCAGCTCCTAATTCCACCTCAACTGGCTCCACAGGCCACTCTACTGATTCCTGAACACAATAAATCGAAGCCACACCTCTGTGAGGACCGTTTGCCTCATTCAGACCCTCAGGTACGTGAGGGGGGGCTACGCCCGCACGGTCCCCAGCTGCAGCAATGCCTAATTCAAAACAACTCCCGCCTCAAAAATAATTAATCATAACCCCTCAGAGACTGGTAGTGTTTTCTGTCAGCTCTGCTACGAGAGGGAGGCAGAAGCGGAAAACCACTGGCTGTGGCAAGACCCGCGGAGATGAAAAGGGGGCAGCGAGGGGGGCTATGAGGCTTCTCCACGCTGGTGGGCGGCGGCCATTTTGTCCAGGGCTGGGGGGGGAAAGAGGGGTGGAGAGGACACAAAATGGCCCAGATATTGTAACTGTTGACCGCCACAAGCGCCGTCCGAAGCCCAGGGCGCGGCTGAACAGGGGCCGAGTCCCGCCCTCTCTCTCAGCTCGGCAATGCTTCCGGGGAAAGGGCAGGGCCGGGTCCCGGCAAGAGGGGAGCGCGGCGCCCGCTGTTTCTTGCCAGCCGGAGTCGCGGCGGTGTGTAGAGATTGCTTTTCGGGCGTAGGGATGACGCGGTTACCGCGCAAACGCCGAGTTCTAACGGGTTTCACGCTGCCAAATCCAGTGCGGGGGCGGAGGAGGGTCTTTTCGCTCCTTTCCTGTTCCCTGGCGAGTGCTAAACCCTTGGCTGCTTGTGTCTGAGCGCACTGGGGCAGCGTC